ATTAGTATTTTGTACTGGTTGACACAAGTGTTCATTGATGAGAGAACATTGTTTGCGATTCTTTGTTAAGGTGAGAGTATCACACCAGAACAAAAATGATAAATGTAGCTTTGATATGTAAGTCTTTTATTTATCGATTTATGCATTTGAAAACACTTGCATTCATCAGCATGTGTTGTTTTATAACAATGTGTGTATAATTAAATAAGATAAACCTTCATTTTTTGATTTTTCAAATAGTTCTCCTTGTCTTGTGTTGAAGTAGTTATATTTATGTGATTAGGTATGATCATGTTATTTTTAATGATCTTCAAATGTTGATGTTTTCTATTTAGAATATATCAATATTCTTCACATTTTATTAGCTAAATAATTTACATTGAGGTAAAAAAATTAAATTGTTTGTTTGTAATGTAAAGTTAATACTTGTAGAATTGTTTGGTTAATTTATATTATTCTCGTTTCAGGTGTTAAAAAAACAATTTAGGCAGTAAATGAAGCTTGGGCAGCATGAATTGGGGGAGGAACTTCTCCACGTATGTATTGGCTAACATGCAGCTGCGAAGCCGTTGTCAAAGCAAGGTAAAGTTTTTATTCAAATTAAACCATTTGATAATGACAATTCTCTTTCTGAATATGTTGAAAAAACTATTTACGATACATGTAGATATCATCTCAAAATTGTTATAGGCAATCAGAAAACATGAATGACTATCATGTTAGAAAATATGTTAAAAATTTGATAATTGTTATCATGTATACATAGCTAAACAACAATTATCAACAATAGATAGAGCAAGTTTACATTAACCTTATTTATTTGGTACCTTCAGTGAATAATATGAAACAAACTAATGTTCCGACGTAAATCAAGTTCCAGAAAATGATGTCATTTCCAAAGGCCATCCTTCATATTTACCTTTGTTTTCATTTTTGAAAAAATTCAATATTTACAAAAAATAATCAATATGAGTCTAAAATATGTAAGGATCTAAGATGATGGTTAATTTGAATATACTTCAACTTATATTCGATTGGAAGAAAATGTTTGAGATTAAGTTTTTTTTTTTAATTACTTTGTTCCTTTTGGGGAAAATTAATGCTCATGTTTGTCTTGGTTGGTCTTATATTAGGCCGACCTAATCATTAAGTCTATATACTTTTCTTTCATTTTAATATTTTATAGAAGTTTCTCTAGCAGTTCTGGAGTTTTCTTAATTGTTCTCTTTAATTTTGATTTTGACTAGTGCGTAGCCCGTGCGATGCACGGGAAAACAATATTTTGATTGTATTATAAATTGAATAAATAAATAACATTAATCATGATTTATCCATTATTTTTAAATTAAACCGGGTTGGACACAGTCTGACCGGATGGACCGAGAACTGGTTTATAAACAGTCTAGTGCGCTTGAATAAAATATTTGCTATCGAATCTTTCAACACCAGTCTGTTGGACTGATAGGATCGATAAGATTTTCTAAACAATTTTGTTACATTAAAAATAATTTTAAATAAAATTACATATTTAAATAAAATTGAGATTTATAAATTGTTCATCAATTAATTTAAACATTTGAATTTATAAATTGTTTAGATATTTAAGTAACACTTTATATTTAAATGAAAAGTACTATATATATATATATATAAGTATTATGTATTAAAATTTGAACAACCACAAATGATTTAATAAAATAACTTGATCGTTTCGATGATGGTCCGGTTATGAAAATCTTATACTTACCGTACATTAATAAAAAAATATAATAAAATAATTATTTTGTTCACATAAATAATAATAAAATGATAAATAAATATTCATAAATAATTAATTATGTTGTCATAAAAGTATTGTTAATATGATTATTTAAAGTTTGGACTACATCACATTCACGTAATAAAGTATTTTCAATATTAAAATTTATATTTAGGTTCAATAATCGATTTGGTATGGTCAAACTGATACATAACTTAGTTATCTGAGACCAACCAAGTTGTTTCAAAGTTTTTTGACTATTTTAAATATCACCTAAAAGTAATTCAATCAACGTGGACAGTACCTTAATTCAATCACCCGATTGATCCAAAGTAATTTTCTTATTTTCTTTAAATGTAATATTTAATTTTATGAAATAAAAAAAATTTATGATTCATATATCTACACCAAATGATAATATATTAAGATTGTAAATTATATATCTAAAGATGAATTATTTATTTTTATTTTATGCATATTAATAAAAAATAAACATAGTAATTTAAAAAAAAATCAAGATTAATTGATTGGATATGCAATTTAAAGAATATTTTTAACGTTCAATGTTCAATATATATTTTAATATGATTGAATTTTTGGATTAGAATATATATATTTAAAATAATTTTATTATTAAAAGTCAAAAAGAAAAGATGCCATAAAGATTACAACTTTGAAAAGTTTATAAACATTAACTTAGGAACCATCCGATTTTAAATGATTTTATAATTTTTGAAACAGGATACGTACATCTAAAACCCATTAATTTAGGAACCATCCAATTTTTGATAATGAATTAAAATTAAAATGTAAAATAAAGAAATTGTTGAAAATAGTATATAATGAATGTGGTTTGACTTTTCTTACTACTATTTATGGTAAATGTTAATTCTTATTATATATATATAGATTACATATTTTCTCTTAATCATCACATTTTATAGGGCAAGAAGATTGTAATTGAAGGAAAAGAAATCATCCCTGCATTTCGATATTGACTCTCCATAGCCAAGTGACCATTAATGATATGTACACTATTATCAACTCCACTAATTCAAATATGTAATATTTCATTTTTAATATAAAATAATTTCTATTCTCCATAGGTTATAATCTATTCAAACTTATATATTTGTAGTAAAACATAAAAAATACAATATTGTTTTTCTTTTTGAAAAGAATCATATTCCCTGTCGTGGGCCTCGTCGTGCTGTCCACGACGGGTCCCCTCCTAGTCTTATTTAATACTAGTGCGTGGCCCGTGCAATGCACGGGAAACAATATTACGATCGTATTATAAATTAAATATATAAATAACATTAATCATGATTTATGTATTGTTTTTACATTAAACCAGGTTGGACACAGTTCGACCGGATGAACGGAGAACCGATTTATAACCAGTCTAGTTCGCTTGAATAAGATATTTGCTCTTGAATCCGTCAACACCAGTCGGTTGGATTTGTAGGATCGATACGATTTTTTAAATAAATTTTGTTATATTTAAAATTATTTTAAATAAAATTGCACATTTAAATAAAGTAGAGATTTATAAATTATTTATCAATTAGTTTAAACATTTGAATTTATAAATTTTTTAAATATATAAGTAACACATTTTATTTAAATTTATTACAAAAAGTACTATATATATATATATATATTAAAATGTTTATAAATTAAAATCTGAACAAACCACAAATGATTTAATAAAATAGCTTGATCGTTTCGATGACGGTCCAGTTCTGAGAACCTTATATTTAATGTACATTAATAAATATTATAATAAAATATTATTTAATTCACATAAATATTAATAAAATGATATATAAATATTCATAAATCATTAAACATGTTGTCATAAGAGTATTGTTAATACGATTATTTGAAATTTGGACTACATCACATTCACGTAAGAAAATATTTTCAATATAAAATTCATATTTAGGTTCAATATGATTTGGTGTGATCGAACTTAATCACATGGGACCAACCAAGTTGTGTCAAGTTTTTTGACTATTTTAAATATCACCTAAAAATAATTCAATCAACCTGGACAATACCCTAATTCAATCACCTGATTGATCCGAAGAAATTTTCTTATTTTCTTTAAATATATTTAATTTTATGAAATAAAACTATTTTATGATTCATATAATAAATGTCTACACCAAATGATAGTATATTAAGATTATAAATTATATATCTTAAGATGAAATCATTTTTACTTTATGCATATTAATAAAAAATAAACATAGTAATTTTCAAAAAATTAAGATTAATTAATTGATTATGCAATTTAAAGAATATTTTTAACGTTCATTTTTTTTAAAGACACAAATATAAAGACCGAGATTCTAAAATTTTTGTTATATTTTGAATTGAGATTTTATAAATATAGATACCGAGATTTTAATTTTGTTCGTTGTTTCTAAGAAAAAAATAAAAATAAAAATAAAAACAGACACACTTAATAAATCTTAGCCGGATTTTTTAAATAATAAAATGAACTATAGCCCGAACTTTAAGGTAACATTTAATGTTGTATGATTTTTAAGGAAAAAATAAGAAAAATAATAAAACTTACTATTTATAGACTGCATAAATTCTGACATATTTTTTTGTTACTATTTTTGGTAAATGTTAATTCTTATTATATATATATATAGATAAAGCAGTTCTTGCATTGTAGCTTTTATTATTTTTTATTTGATTGGTTTCTTAATTTTTTGACACGTAGAAATTATGTATATGTATTACCTTTTTTGTCCTCGATGTTCTGCTTAATTACATCTAATAATTTGAAAGGCTTCGACTACACTTTTTTTTTCCCGAAGCTTCTGTTTCTCGCCCATTTTCTGAACTTTCCCCCACTTCGGCCGCACTTTTTTTTTGTGCGACTGTCATTCTCTCTAATTGATACGAAGAGTTATGGTTTTTTCTCAAAATCGCGCTCGGTGAAAAGAAAACAACTTTTAGTGATGCAATAGCCAATGAGCCATTGATAGCGTGGAGTCGCTTCCTGCGTTTTGCACCTTCGTCAGGTAAAATCGACTACTGCCGCAGATTTCTTTCGAGGTCGTTTGAATGGGTAGACGGATTTGGAGGAGGGATGGTGGCTTTATCCTTTATGCCTAAAAACACATTTTTTCTTTCAAAGGGTTAAATTTTTGTTGTACAAAGATGCAATGAATTTGAATGTGAGAATGGTTTAGGGTTAGGTTTGACTTATTTGATGAAACTTAATTTCTACTTCATTATTGTATTTGTTTAATACCACTGGCGTATGTTGATAGAACTATTTGTTGCAAACATAAATTTTACAGTTCTGTTGCATGGTCCGTTTTATGTAATGTTGAATCTGAATTATTGAACCGATGGCTTGAGCCACTTGACTTTAGGTTGTGGGACGCGAGAACAGGAACAATTGTTGGGACGCTTGAGGCCAAATCCTCTCTAACAAGTGCTGAGGTTAGTCAGGAAAGCAAATATCGCATTCTCCAATATTTGTTTATGAAAGCATTCATGTTCGCTGTAAACAATTTTATGATTACTTCATTTACCAACATTGCATATTACTCTTATGCTCACACAGATTGCAATTGCTTCATGCTTGTAGTTCCATTCTCTTTCTTCGAAGCAGGAGGGCAATAATTTATTACCTTTTTATTCATTATTTTTTCATTATTTTTTGTTAACACATCTTTAATTATCTGTTGTGTATGTGCTTAATTTGGTTTATACAAAGTTCTATGATTATTCATCAAAACCAACTGTTCATCTATCAAGGTCCATCATTTCTAGGTTACATCTTTCATGTCTATATTTTACATAATTTGTTTGCCTGTCAGTTTGATCCTCAAACTAGAGAAGTTCATATTCATCTTGCTACTGTGGTACCTAAAGAGCCGCATGCAGCAAGTATAGCCTGGACGGATAGTGTTACGGAAAAACAGAGTTTAGATTCTTTAGGCACAGAAATAGAGAGGTTAGAGTTGGAGAAAAATTTTGAGCCTTGAGCTTCTCCCCCACCCAATTGCACAGAGGACAGCTAAAAAATGGGCTCTGCTATTTCATCTTGCGAAACAAAGTCCCTCCTAATAGGTGCAGTTCTTTAGCATTTAACTCTGTCTGTTTGACATGATAAATGAAGTTTAGCTTGTTCCAAGTCATATCGTAGAATGTCAATCAAATATTATTGATTCCACTGCATTGTTAAAATGTGTCTCCTCCCTCCTTGTCTATGTTCCTATATACATTATATACCTTATCCCTTTGCTTCATTCTTCAGTTGTTGGATGCATTTTTTTTTCTCTCACCATCTGGTTTAACTAATAATTTTTCTTGAGTGTGTGATTAATTGATTAATTCACCCATGTTTAACTCATAATTTTTGTTAATTGAGTGATTAATTTATTAATTCACCCATATTTCACTATTTTCTCATTTTTGTTGGTTTATTTATTAGAGTTGTATC